CTCGCTAACCACCGGCTCTTTTAGCACCATCGCGAAGCTGTTGTGGATAAGCTAGTCGCACTCCTCACCGATGTTGTTAATAACGGCATTTTTACAAGGGCTGGCAAAGGAAGCGAGCAAAGCATAATTTACGAAGGTTTTGAGATTCCAATTCTTAAAGCCAAACTTTTTACATTTGGTGGAGAAAAGAAGCTTGTGCGAAAGTGTTGGTCCGATCCTTCATAAAACATCGGGACAACTGAGGCGTAGAGGATGTGGTTTTTCCACGTACTTCTTCAACATTTATTTGATATCGTCTCCTTTCTTTATTTAATGAAGCACGTTCAACTCTATTCACCTTCACCATATTATAATATGCCGTGTTATATATTATTACCACTACAGTATTATACTGTTATACTTGGATGCTTGTATACTTTGATGGCTCGTCCTCACTGGTTGTGCGGACCTCAGCATGACCTCCATTTTTACGAAGTTTTGCTGGTTTAGCCATTGCGGTTCCCTGGATCTTCACCAACCACAGGCAGTGGCGGGCTTTGTGGATCAGAGAGAGATTTACCGCCATGCGCATGCGGCTGATTTGGTACCAAGACGGTGACGGATCCTGGTATTGGTTTACTCTTAGCTAGGCTTCCTGATGGAAATGCCGGACTCGTTCTCAGCTTGGTAGAAGCTGCCTGGGGATGAATCCCCGCGCTGTACATCGCAGCCTGACAACATAACCACGTACCATGTTCTTTACATTATCACCGACTCACTATGCGATTTTTTTCGGACGCTTTTCTGAATTCAGTTTTAGCGTTGAAGTTGCCATTGATAATCTTATAGAAGGCATAGCCTTCTTTGTAAAAACGCAATTGGTCCATGTAGAATTCTTCGATCTTACCTTTGTCACATCATAAATTTGGAGCGTAGACGACGAAGATTGTCGAAGCCGATATTGGCCCAGATCTTTTCAACCGCAAACGTGCGATTTGGGTTGTAGGAATAAATCAGTATTCGTAGTAAAGTCGTGTCATATGTCTAAGAAACAAACCCCATCTGTTCCAGTCCGATAACTCGTCCTCACTTTTCTTATGTGACACCATTAGATCCTCAGTAAACGGGAAATATGTTATTGTGAGTGCACTAAAAGTGCAGATCGTCGCCCCAGATTTAGGAGCTCAAGAATGACCTTGAGATTTTAACAACCCCCCGCACTCGTCCTATCCGATGTCATATTAGGGATTCATTTGGACTAAAGAGAATGAGGCACACTTGTTTTACAGTACTCAGCGACTGACTGCCACGTATAGCGTACCGTGCTCTTTCGTGAATGTTAGGTGTGCTCAAGGCTATTTTGCTGGTCTCTACTATTGGTTGGAACTAACTCCTAACCACCTTCCATGCACTTCACTATCAAAACATCGCGAAGACGACCACCTGTGCATCACCGACTCGAATTAATCCGGCTTTGAAGAAGACGAAGACGTCAAAACGCTAGCCGAAAAACTTTTTTAACATCCTCATGTTAGCTTAAAAGTCCAGGAGGTACTTCCCTGTCAGTTAATTCCAGAATTTCTTTCTCGAACTGGTTTGCATTTTATAACTGGAGATTATACATATATATAAACATATATATTTATATATAAGGGATAAAAACGATAAAGCTCTCGACCTTGATCAATCCCTGAAGGATGCGCCATGCATTCGACTTAATTAAGTATCGTTGGAGGTGATTAAATGCATGTCTGACCTTTACAATGACTTGCGGTGGCTTACCGATGTATCGAGCCAGTGCTACTATCCTTCCATAAAAGTCTGGTACCAATTTGCCGACCCCGGAAGAATGGAAGGCTTAGTAGGCCATGGGGGCGGGGATCGATTCCACGTGTGTGTCGCAGTGGCGCCACCAACCACTGCGCCACACATGGCATGTATATATGTATATATAAAAAGAGCGCGTGTAGAGCGGTGGTCGGAGTGGCACACTTAAATGCACATGGGATCAATCCCAGCGCCCCCGGCTAGCCAAGCCTTCTAACGTTCCGGGGTCGAAAAACATGGTAGGAGACTGGTTTGGGAGGATAACAGCACTGGCTTGATACATCGGTAGGCCACCGCGAGTCATTGTAAGAAAGAACCATATATGCATTCAATCATCTCCAAAGATGCTTAGTGAAATTGAATGAATTGTGCATCCCTCAGAAATTGATCAGTGCCGGGCGCTTTATCTTTTTCCTTTACATATATATATATATATATATATATATATATATATATACGAAAGGTAAATTTTGATCTAACCCGACTGGGACATAAAGCTAATGATTTTAATCTACTACTGCCTCAGAGTAAGTACAGTGACAGCCTTGATCATAACTCAACCATACGTCCGCTACATGGGGAGGCACCTCGTATTGTCGAGTCTCACATAGATGGAAATAAGGAAGTAAAAGTGGATCCATGAGTAAAATAACTCAATGTTGGATCTTACCAAAATTTTTCCCAGTGTTCTCCTGCTCTGCTGCAGCCTTAGGAAATTGTCGAGTGTCGAATGATGGTCAGCAGCGTAGTGTTCATTCCATAGCAGTGTCACAAGTTAACCGTGATTACGTTCTCACCAAAAACTTGAACGGAAGCCACTGAGCAGATTTAAAGTGGAAGGACGATGTCGACTAATGGTATTCACACCATTTGGACCACAAGAGTCAAGTGACGCAGAGGAACGAAAAGTGCAATGTAATATATTATGAATAAAGTTACGGACAAATGTAATATGATATCGATACCAACAGAAGTAATGGGTCACAATCAGCATGGTGAGTTGTACAGTTAAATGGTTGCACATGGAGATAGTGTACGACTTGCGCAAATGTTGCCTCACTCGTGTTGCCAGAGCTCTCACGGCAAGGTTAATTTTTAACATAAAAGATACATACTAGGCTAATACAACGAGTGGTATTGCTCCATTAATGTATTAAGACTATAATGCTGAGATATTTGCAAAATTGGGATAGCTGGCCAGATCGATCCGCGATTACCCATTCCGGAGTTTATTTGTTACATACTGCACCACTGAGGCCCTTGTTTTTCCTTTCCTTCAACCAGTTTTCTACATAACGCACAAACCGGCATTGAACCTATGCTGAGAAGAAAGCAAAACAAGGGTCTCAGTAGTACAGTGCGTAACACGCGGTACCACGCAGAGTTAACCGTAGTTCGATCTGTCCTCCTGCGGTCCAAGTCCTGCAATTTTCCTAGCATTATTGCGATTACATTTCACATCATACCCTGCCGTGAAAAATCATGATAGGTAGGCATAGGTAGTAACTAAAAAGCTGCTGGCATTAAGACAGTGTTAACTTTTTATTTTCTGTCTTCTACAATTTTGAATGGCAGAGTATAATGCGAAATAGAACCACAATGATGCTGAGATAGTTGCAAAACTCCTGACCGCAAAAGTCTGCAGTGGGGAACTAATGCGCTATTACCCTTTCAGGGACTAATGCGTTCACCACCACACCATGCGGGTCCTTCGTTTCGCCTGTCTCTCAGGTAGTTCTATCGATCACTGCTTTCAGCGATCACCCGTCAACGGGATTGATCTGGGCAGCCCGAATCGGTATTGAACCAGGTTAAGCTGAGGTTGTAGTTGAAATCACAATGTTAACCTTTTATTTGATGCCTCCTACGAAAACCAAGGACCCGCATGGTGTGGTTATGAACGCTTTAGGTTGGGTTTTGACAAAAAAGTGCTGAATTTTTAGTTGTGAGTCTTACACGTATATTTTTAAAACTGTTATTCACATTTCACTTATTTTTTATGTAAAAAGCTTTTTAGGCTGGACAAAATTATTCTTTCATGACAAAAATTTGTTTCGTTTTGCTTCGTGAGTTGAACCAGCAGAACGGGACCAAGTCAAAATATCCTTCTTAGTATGGGGGCCATGAAAATGGTTTTGAACGCTCTCTGTGCAAATTGTTCTGAAGGTTTTTTGCCGAAACTTCATGCTTAAGAAGCTTGACGGCCTTACCCAAAAGTGATTAAAACTAACTTATGAAGATCTCCTTATCTAACCCTCTAGAAACACTCGAGAGATAACAGAAGAACTCAGAGTTAATCAAGAAACGCTTCTAACATTAAAAATTCGGAAAACGAAAATTGTTAGTGAGTGGATGTTTCCCGAAATTATTGAAGAACAAGGCGACCTTCGCTGTGACATCTACTTTAGTTTCTTTTAGACTACAAAAACGAGCAATCTTTTAAACACATTGTGACGTGGAAATTGGTGGATTCCACACGAAAACTGTCGGCCTTCAGATAAGTTGATGGATTGAAAATCCTGAACACTTTGTAAAGCCGAATTTGCACCAGGAAACGTCCATAACATTCTGGATCTTTTGGAAAACATCAAAATGAATAGCTAATGTCACGAAAGTGGCAAAACGCAGCATTGGCTGTTTGCGGGGAAGTAACGAATTCCTCTCCTTGACGACGTCCAACGACATATTCTACGACTAACACTGCAGAAGATGAACGATTTAGACTACGAAATTCTGTCTTACCTAGTTAGCCGACTTTCCGCGAACGAGCTTCAGTCCTTTAAACATTTTCTCAACTTATGCTGGTCAAAATCTTTAAAAGTCGAGCCATTGCTGAAGCTGATATCAACGGTTTCTTTGCTTCAACAACTTCACATTTCCAGGCAACGGGATAAACAAGTTTATACTTCGTTGGATAAAAATATTGTAATCTATTTTGGTTCCAAGTGCTTCAATCTCGACTAATAACGTTAGTCGAGATTGAAGCACTTGGAACATTATGTCTAAATGGAATTACACGGTTATAAAGTTTTCTTTCAAAATCCACCGTTTTTCCTAATCCTACCTCATAAATAAGATGCGATAGCCGCTTGAGGGATATATTTTGACCTGGTACGGTACGGAATTTTTTTGTTTCAAAGTAAAAAACACAAATGCTTAGGAATCTTTCATTAGGCAGTCGTTGGATATTCAATCTAGAACTTGAACTTTCTTTCAGGACATGGGCAGTACTCAGCATCACCACCGACATTCCCTTGAGGACCAGCCTGTCCTGGTGTGCCATCCATTCCATTGAATCCATCTTTGCCAGGATGTCCTGGCGGACCTTCAATTCCATCTATTCCCGGCTCTCCAGGAGAGCCCTCCATTCCAGGGAGTCCACGTGGTCCAGGGAGACCTGGGCGGCCAGGCAGTCCTGGCAATCCTAGAAGTGATGATTTATCCACATGGAAAGAGTAAAACATTCGCAAAAACACCTGCCTTTTCCAGTAAGACAATCCCTCCCAGGCGATCCAGGCATTCCAGGCTGTCCGTCGCTTCCAGGTGGTCCCTGATCTCCTGGTTCGCCTTGAGCTCCAGGCAATCCATCTTTTCCTGGTGCCCCAAGTTCTCCTGGCTTTCCTGGCATGCCTTGGAATCCTTCCTGTCCAGGTAGTCCATCTGGTCCAGGAGGTCCTTGCGGGCATTTAATACATCCCTTTGGAAAGTCATTAACTTGCGCAATAATAAGTCCGGGCAGCCCAATAGGACCGTTTTTTCCGTCTTGCCCAATTTCTCCTGGCTCACCAGCTACCCCAGGGGGGCCAGGTGGACCGGGCGGACAGTTCTGAGCAGGCAATCCGCAATCTGAAAAAGTAGCCGACACCTGGACAGAAAAATTAATGACCAATAATAACTGAAAATATTGTGTATAGTCAGTTGACCATCATTGCATTTTTGATGGTGCTTGTTAAGTACGTTATTTTGTGCTGGCTTCAGTTCTCTAATGAACTGCTTAATCATCTGGGTGAGAAATCAGTATTCTACAAAAATGAAGAAAATACATTGCTAGCACAGATTTTCAAATAAAACCATAGCGAATTTAGGTGAAACATAACTGATTGTACATTTTTTAAGGTATTATGTTGAAAGGGTTCTTAGCGAATAACGGAACCAAAAATTCTTAGAAGAAAGCAGCTATTGAGAGGTAAGAAACTCGCTAAAAGCAGGTATGGAGAGGAAGGATACTTACTGCATTGATTATAGTTTCTTTTATGCCGACCGAATATTCCACGAACGTAGTGTTCTGCAGTGTCGCCAACGCTTCTCATCATCATCATTTCGTCCCAAGTATCGTCAGCAACATTCTGCAAACATTTCTGCCTTTTCGACTAGTTTTGACAAACAAACAACCTATGATATCAGAAAAGGTGGAGAAATCCAGGGCCGTATGACAAATCTATGAAATACTGTGAAGCTTAGACGATCAAAAATTGAAGGACGTAGTAAAGACACTAGGAAACTTTAACGTCCCCGGCATTTCGACCCTATGTAGTACTGATCAACGTAAACACGACTTTAGAAAGTTCAGTTTTGCTCAAAGGAGGCAAGAATGTTTCAATTTGCAATGCAAAACCAATGCTTTTAGCAATATGATCACTTGGTGGGCAATACTAACTCGAAATGATCCTAGCTCGCCCATGACGTCACGATACATCTGATTGATGTCGTTGACGATGATGATGGCAGCCCAGAGACATGCTACCACGCAAGTCATACCACATAGAACGCCGAGTGACACTGCAGTTCTCACCATTCTGAATATGAATTGAACACGAGTATTGTACATAGGGAAAACAATTCAAATACGAGGACAAAGCGCTGAGCGAGAATCCTGTGTGAGATAAAAAGTACGCTATATTGACTCTATGTGATGACTCTGCTATGATTCTGATTGGATTTATAGATCAGAAAAAAGAAGGAATGTATAAGGGGAGAGTACATTTTGGAATTATTATAATCCAGATTTTTAATTTGAATTATTCGAATCGTCTAGGCTTTACTACTAAACCAGTACAATATTGGAGCAATATAGTATATAATGTCCGTAGAATTGGTGAGGAAACGTCTCGGTGCTCGTCGAATTCTAGCGGGTGGTTATCGGCTGCTGTCCGCTTTTAAATCACTGGATCAATCAGGATCTTCACGACTTTCTTGGTGGTGTGAGAGGTGGCGCCAGAGCGACAAAACGCCTTCCGTGGCGGAACGGTCATTTCTCGTTTAGGCTTATTTTTCATCTACTTAAGTGAAGGAAGGAATGCAGTTTTGCGGAGGACAAAAAGGGCTTCAAAAACACCGACATTTCTAACTCGGCGCTGGATTGAGGTTTCAATCCCGATCCTAGAGAGAGAGAGAGAGGAAGCGATAATGGTCCTGCACGGGTTCGAACCAGAATCTTTTGCTCGTTGAAAGGCATCACTACTATTACGCTGTCGTTACCTCCTAAAAGTGCATTTTTTTTATTTTATTAAACCGAACTTTCACATCTACTGCGCGGATTCCAGCACTCCTCTCCTCGCACTCCATTCGTTCCCTCTATCCATCATCCGGAAAGTTCTTCCAACTTTTGCTTGTGCACTCGGCTTTTCCCTGAGGTTTTTCCTTTCGTCAAGAATGTCGCTGAATGCAGATTGAGTATCAAGTGGATATCCTTATAATTTCTTATTTCCCAGTTGGACTGTATCATGAATAATAATTGGATGCGTAGATCCTAGTCACCTTCGAAGAATAGTTAAAGCAGGGCTAGGTATCTGCATCTCGAACATCGGTCGAGACCATGACATTCTGAGAATATAACTTAGAAAAGACAATGTTTTAGTGATGTCGTGTACATCGTCCTTGTGATAACTTGATGGTCCTACAATTAGATATCCACCATCTTTTTCTGATATCGCTTCAAGTCTTTAAAAATTACTTCGCGAAAATTATGAAGTTATATTAGTTGTTAGAAAAGTCGAGACAGCCTTTTTACGAATTTGTTATTGAAGGAGGTGAGATAAACAATGACGTGGTGTTTCGCCTCACATGCAATTCTCCGGAATTTCCTTCCTGCATGGAGAGAGGGTGATGGATATATTGAGCCCGTCGAAACATTTTCCTATGGCTCTCTGTCGTTCTGTTTTTTCCTTTATCATATTTTAGTAGTTCGTGTTACGCAGTGTTTAAAGGTGCCCTGCAATACGATGTGGTTTATTCGACAAGGTGGCTGGTACCAAACCTGTTTGGGAGGAAAAAAACACTGACCTGATACATCGCTAGGCTCCCTAAAGATCAACGTGCATTCCGTGCCCTCAACAACAAATAATGAAGTCGAACATGGTGCAACTAAAGAAATCGACCAAATCGAAGCCTTTCTTATTCTTTATCTTTTCCACCTTCAAGGTCTTACTAAATCTGGAAGGTTGATGGAGACCTTTAATAACCTATACTGAAAGCGAGCTCATATCTTCCGAGTATTCCATCTTCCCCACTAGCCAAATCAAAAACTTGATACACAGCCTAATCAAAAGAGGAGAATGTGACTCAGAGCTGAGACAAATTTTTCGATTTTATATAAGGCTGAACTTTGATTGGAACACCACAGAAAAATTCTTTTCCAAAGTGTGACTTAGGCTTCTAAGAATGAATTTCGTGACAGGACCGATTCTCTCTGAAATCCAGGAAAGGCACTAAGACAGATCAATAGTTTTTTTTAAATTCTGAAGAATCACAGATCTGATTAGAAAACCATAAAACATCAATAAAATGCTCCGCATCAGAATAAGATGTTTAAGCGATTTGTGTGGAACGCGTGAATAAGTGCTGGCTGACGGATCGAAATCGCCTGACTGCAGTTTGCTGGTCATTAGCAAGTTCGAAACTTGAAACGGTCGCTGATTTGTTATCGAGCGTTGCACTGACTATCACCGCTTTCCGCTGTTGACTTACCTTCTGTTCCCAATGTAAGTGTAGAATAGGGGATAAAGGATAGAACGTTCCGTATTAAGTACTGAGGACCGCGCGAGGCATACGACTTCAACAACCTTCATAGAGACGAATGAATACATATCTGGGAAATCAAATGTCTTTTGGTGGCTCATAGATGTATAAAGTCAATACTGTTGTCTTTCCAGGAAAGCACGGTACCAATCTCCCGACCATGAGAGAAGAGCTAGCTTGATGGGCCTGGGCGCTGCTAGAATCAGAGCCCAATGTATTGCGTATTGTGGGGCTCCTCTAAACCTTCACTCTATATGGTGCCTTGTTATGAAGTAAGAAATGAAAAATTTTGCTTATTAAGACCCTTCTGCAACAATCAGCCCAGTTTAGCGCTTTGCTTCCGTTAATGTTACATTTCAATTTATAAGAAAAATAATAATGTAGCCCTTCTGTGGATGAGAAGCTAAGAAATCACACATGAAAGAGTACGCTCGAGTGGAAAATTGAAAAGATCAATTTTAACACTCTCGTATTTTTTTAATCTATGCCAAACTTGTAGATTGGCCTAGAAAATTAAATAGTATCACGGTATGGAAAATGTGGAAAACTTTTAGAAAAGAAGAAAAATGGTAGATAAAGCGTAGGCAATGAGTCTCTGATGGAAAGAACTTGATGAAGTCAGTGATGGGTGATGGAGAGATGCATGCTACGGCTCGGAACGAACATTATCCCTCACTCGACAAGGGTAGCCCAAATGGAACAAAGAATTTTTATCACATAAGTCTAACAACGATTTCAGTCTTTTCTGTCTAAGTAGTTGTTCAGGAATTAAAACATTTCAAAACCAGAATAACAAAAATGTTAGGGAAGCTGTGGCATTTTGCAGAAACGCTTACACATTCTCGAAGTACATTGGATATTTTCAGCGCTTCAATAGGTTTTTGAACCATGGCAAAATTAGAGCTCCGATTTTACAATACTTCGAAAATCCTACAAGATTAACAGTTGGTCGCTCTTAAAATAAACTCTGCCATTAAAAATTATAGTAGGTAGCAAATAAAAAGTTAGCTTTGTGATTTCAACTACAGCCTCAGCTTAACTGGGTTCAATGCCGATGTGGGCTTTCCAGATCAATCCCGCTGACGGGTGATTGCTGACGGCAGAGATCGATAGAAGTGAGAGAGGCGAAGCGAAGGACCCGCATGGTGTGGTGGTGAGCGCGTTACTTCCCGGAAAGAACAATAGCGTGTTTGCTCCCCAGCGAAGTCACCTGCGGTCCGGAGTTTTGCAAATACCTTAGCATCATTGTGGTTCTATTTCCCATCACACTCTGCCGGTAAAAATTGTAGTAGGCAGCAAATAAAGGGTTAGCACTAAGAACTGATTTAACAGCCATAAAGCTCTTTCCATCATATTTCTTCTTGAGATCATGGCTTCACATGGCGGCTTAGATCATTAGTTTATGAATGAAAAACAGGAAGGGGAAAAGTGTTCGGTGTTGACCAGTCCATCATGCATTCGAATCCTTTCCTAACGCCGTTGAGATCATCGAATGGAGGTACGGCCTGTACAATGACTTCTAGCGGCTTAGCGATCTATCAGATCAGTGCTGATGGCATTCCAGATAAAGATGTTTCTTGTACATAGGCCTTTCTTTACTTAGCTACTGGGCTAACTCAATGACCCATCTTCACGAATGATCGCACGAATGGCGGCGCTTTTTCAATTTGGGTACTAATTTGCTGTTCGAGCAACACTTTTCATTCCATGATGTATCAAAATAGCCATTCTAAAGCGCTAGATAATCGTCTCACCACAAGCAGTTACCTCTCATTCTAGATTTGAAAGAAACTTACAATCTTGTGACTAGGTTTTTGAAGGGTTGGATGTGATTCTTGGCATTGGTTTACTGCTTGCCCGTTCTCATAATACAACTGTGAAATATTTCCTCAATTTTGAAGACGTTTTTAAGGAGGTGAACCTCCGCTCCACATTATAGGCAGTTCGGCATCCAAAAAGATTCGAGCCACAATGAGAAGGTGAACCGATATTTATTGGAAATGGTGCTAATATCGGAGCCTTACACCGGAACACTCAACAATATCCTCAACCAATACGCAGTGGATCACGGGATGATCCACGTACTTCTCCCAAGCTCACACTACAGTCTTACACTATCACGGTACAGGATTGGCCTAAGGCGCTCATATTGCCCATGGGCTTGGAATGTAATTCCAACATCAATTACATGTCACGTAGTGCTCCTTACAGAAGCATGTATCAATTGGCATTTGGACTCATAATCAATCACTTCTGTAATATCTATTCTCGAATTCGCCAGTGTACTGAGTAGAACCACTTTGATTCTAACGCCTTTAGTTAATGCTTCCATCTCAGTACTTCCGTGATGACTCGCTAGTTCTTGAGAAGTCCACTAGATGTTGTTACTGTGTATTGTTTGTTCACAACAGCTGGGCATCAGCAGATTTCACCATCTTCTGACCCTAGAAAGACCAAATTAACCGCAACCTAATCATTCTGTCACCTCCATAATCTCAACCAAAAAGTAGTAATTCCCAACTTTCGGTCACGTTGCATACAAAAAAAGTTTCTTTTCACATTCACCATTTTTTGTGAGGCTTCCACTGAGTGTTATACGTGGCGACCAAACGTGCAGACCACACATGGGTCAGCCCTTCTGACATCCAAATGGCAGTCTGAGATATTGCATGAGATCTAGCTTGATAATGAGGTATTCCTTTCGTGGTTTATCCGTGGACGCTTATAATTTATCCAGAATGCTTCGCCGGCTTTAAGAGCCGAATTTTTAAATTTTTG